TGCTAAAAGAAAAATCCGGATAGAGCTGGTCAGGGATGCGGAGCAAAGACAAGGTCCAAATATAGTGGAGGGGGTAGAGGCCATACTTCAACCACTTGGAGCAAACAAGAGAAGAGGACCTCAGCTTCTGTGAGTTGGGACCTGTTACCCTGGACCCCACCCCCACCCCACTCCTAAAAGTATAGGAAAATTTATTTTACTTAAAAATTGATCCATTAATGCAACTGAAAAGGAACCAGGGCTCCTTGGGGAAATGGCTAATTTCAGGTCTGGAGCATGAAATGTGCAAAATGAAATTGAGTGAAACATTTTATCGTAACTGAAAACACTACCAGGGTCATGTCAAAACCATCCAGAAGAGGTGGAAACTGGCCAGAGTTTGGACAATTTGCATGTCAATGAGCATAAATGCAATAGATTGAAACACATCAGACAGGTACAAATCCACAAGGTGAAGTGACCCTAAAGAACACTGGTCCCTTTGAAGAATGCTAAGGAACCAACTCTGCATTTTGAAAACTAGTAAATAAAGTGGTGGTGGTGGGGCGGGCAGACAACCATTTATCTTGTCTTTCTTCTATTAACTGTACTTCAGGGTAACCAAGTAGTTGATGAAGGGAAATTTCTCTTATAAAATTTTTCTGGCTAATAAATGAGTAAGGAATGATTGAACTCCTTTTTGTATATCCTAAAGAAATAAAGGATCTGGCAGGCAAGGATCGTCAATGGCTACTAACATCTCAAAAGGAGAGACAACCAGCTTCTGCTGGAAAAAACAACACCACCTTTAAAGTATTTTTGCCAAAAAGTAAGAGCTGGACCAAAATCTGCTCAAACCTTGGCCTGTGGGGAACATAGGACACCGAGGAACATTGTAAGCGATGCCACCAGAGTGTGACCAGCAGAATCCAGATCAGGGGAACTACAGAAAAAATACCTGATTTCTGCTTCCAGCCATGATACATCTATAATGTATATATTCCTAGATTTTCTATATATATTAGTCGGGATCCATGAAACAACTCCTGATAAATATGTCCTTTGGGAAATAAGTTAAACTTTTTTTCCCCTTAAATATTGTGGGGTGACATTGATCATATAGATTTTAGCTGTAGATTTCTATGATATCAGATCTGTATATTGCACTGTATGCCCACCATCCAAAGCCAAATCTTCTTCCATCACCCTTCACCCCCTTCACCCCTCAAAAGTTAAATTCTTGGAGCCAGTCAGAAGCAAACTTAGAAATTTAGTAGTCCAGCCCCTGTTTCTTTCTTTCTTTTTCTTTTAAACTTCTCCTGAGGATATTATTCCATTGATTTTTTTCGAGAGAATGGAAGGGAAGGAGTTTGGGGGAGAGAGAGAGAGAAACATTGATGTATGAGAGACATATCGACTAGTTGTCTCCTGCATGAGCCCCAACTGGGGCCAGTGATTGAGCATGCAACTGAAATATGTGCCCTTGACCAGGAATCAAACCCGAAACTCTTCAGTCGGCAGGCTGGCGCTCTAACCACTGAGCCACCGGCCAGGGCTGGCCCCTATTTCTTCAGACCTATCTTTGGCCTGAAAATTGGCCTTTTCCATGTTCCTTGGCTAGCTAGTTAGCGTCACCAGGGTTTCTGACCCTTGCCCGAGCTTATCCCATGACCTGCATCGCTGAGGGAGTTCCATGGGCACCCTCCTGTGGCTGAAACTCTGACTCTTTGCAGTCTCAGGGGACCCAGCCTAGTCAAAGCAGCAAAGACACGTTCAGAGAATTCTGCGAAAGCAAAGTTGCAAGGAACTCGGAGTAGAGTTGCTCCAAATCCAAAAATGCTGAGTGGAGAAGCACCTCGGCCTTCGGGTGAGAGGGATGATCTGCCCAGGTTGGGCCTGGACAGGCTCTGTGATTCCCTCTTCTCATCTCATCAGAAGAGTCCTTCCTAACCCCAGGATCCCTGAACAGCGGATGCTGCTCGGACCCTAAAAGAGCCTGGGTCGGGACTTCGGCCCAGGAGACTTCAGCCCTTGGAGAAGCAGTGCCTGCCGCCTTCCTGCTATTGCCACTGGCCTGTGAGAACACGGCTGAGTTTTGAAAGGGGTCATAGAAACACCCCAAAGGCCTGAGCCACCGGGTTGCTCAGAATGGTGCCCTGGAGATTTCCATGGACATTGTCTCAAAGCACCAGTTTTATCAGCTGCGTCTAAACATCAGCCTCAACTTTGTCTTCCGCTGCCAGTGGCCTTGGAGCGTGGAGCAGTCTGGTTGCCCCACGGAACCTTATGTCCTTTGCACGGAGCTTGCTCAGAAAGTGTGAGCCGGGAGGCTGCTGAGGCAGAGCTGCCTGCAGGAGGATAGGAGGAGGCTCTTGTCCTCGCCCACCCTCCTTCTCAGGTCCAGGTGCCTGGATGTCTCCGCTGGGCAGGGCCAGGGGCGGGTGGTAGAGCCGGGTGCTGTCTGCACCGGGGGCCAGAGTTGGAACCACAGAGCCAGGATTAAGCCATAGAGGGAGCATGATAAGGATGGAGACAATGGAGTGGTGGCTCAAGGTCAAGGTCAGGTTACCGAGCCACGACCAGAAAGGGAGCATGCATCCTGGTTGAGAGAAGCTGCTTGTGTAGAACTAAAATATCCTCAAGGAAGAGGAAAAGGCCGGGGCTAGACGAGGACAGGTGAGGTGTCTTAATTCCTGAAATAATTTGGAGCAGAATTCAGTGGTTTCTGATGCTTCTCTAACGGAAAAGGGGGTGGAGAGGGGTTGCAGACACACTCTCCCCACCTCCCATCCAGGGCTCCTCGCGGAGGTAGGAGTAGCCCTCCTAGAATTCATTTCCTGCCATCTCATTTCCAGACCGCGCTTCTCCTGGCAGGAGAGGCCTCCCTGGAAAAGAGGGGCAGGATGCCATCAGCACGATCACAAAAAGGCCTCTGTCACTCACAGGAAGCTGGCCCTTGTGGAGCAGAGCTAATTACAAGGGAGGAGAAAGGGTCGCCTCCTCCTCTGGAAAGCGCTTCCTACTTGGGAAGTGGGGACTGAACAGGGAGAAAGGGCCCAGGAGTGGGCTCAGGTGAGCTCAGGACAGGGCCTCCCAGCAGCCGCTGCTGGGACATGGACCAGCCTCTGGGCCTCAGTCTTTATGCTTCCCCAGACCAGCAGGGGTCAGGAATGCAGAGGGATTGAAAGGAGGGAGGAAGGGGAGGAGATTTGCTAAATAATCAAAGTGGCCAAGGGCAGTGCCCAGCTGCTCCTCCCGACTTCTCTCCACGACTCTCACCTGTATCACCTGTCCAGTCCCACTCGCCAAGTTGGACCCCTGTGTTTGCTCGGACCGCTCAGGGTGTGCAAGGGCTCTGGGTGCCCATGTGGGCCGGATTGAAATAGATTGGATTGACTGGATGCTGAGGGACAGAATTCAATCCAAACTGCAATTAAATCTCCCTGATTTGAATCTGCTAATTAGAAAAGGCTGCGCTGAAGTCGGCCGCCGTGCAATCTGTCTTTACGGGGAGCGTTCAATTTGACAGAATGTACCTGAGAACCAGCAGGGGCCGGGGACAGCAGAGCAGGTTGAAACAACCACTTCCTGTCTTGGGAGCACCGTTGGCCGTCAATCAACCAGCGCTATCCTTTGGAATCATTCCTCGATGCCCAGGCCTAGGTTGCTCCCAGAGCAGCCCTGGACTGAGCCAGTCTGCGTGACTAACTGGCTGAGAAATGACACCACTGCACATCTTTTTGTTTAGTCTATCCTTCCCGTTGAGGTTTTTCTGTTATTTTGTATATATGTTTCTACATTCTTTAAAAAGAAGTTTTTTGCCTCAAAGTAAGAATAGCACAAAAAATTCCTGGATACCCTTCACCCAGATTCCCCAAGTGGTAACAGTTTACTATTTTACTCTCTTTCTCTCTCTCTCCCTCCCTTTCTACCCCCCCACCCCCACACACACATATACTTCTCTATGAAATTTTTTTCTGATCTAATTTAAAAATAAGTTTCAGGCATGATGCCCTTTACCTCTAACTACTTCAGGGAACTGCATGAGTTTTTCAAGTGTTTGGGAGTTCAGATCCAACCTGAGTTTAGATCAGCCCTCTCCTGAGCTAGAACAGAGAGTCTGGTGGGACCCAGGATCCAAAAGCAACACTACATCCCAGGGCAACAAAGACCTCCATCCCACGTGCAGGAAATGGCAGGAAGCCTTCACAGCTGCCCAGCGCCTACACCACCTCAACCCCTCTCCCCAGGTTCTCCCCCGAGTCCTTGCCTCCAATCTGGCTGGCTGTCTCCTTGCTGGCATGCCCTGGCTCTTCTCTGTGGGCTCCTTGAGGTTCACCCTCTCTAGGAAGCCTTCCCTGACTCTTCTTTCTGCCCCTCCTCCGAAGCACCACTGCTTCCTAGCCCTCATTGAGCTTAGCAAATGTTTTGTATCTCTGCCCCCACCTCCCCTGCAGGAGCAGGAGCCCTGAGCCTCATCTGGGCACATGGGCACCCAACCACATCTGAGCGAACTGTCAGGACCGGGCCTGGTGGGGACCATTTGGCCTTGAGGGTGGCTGGGGACAGGGGCACAGCCTGGGGCGTGAGGACTGGGCCTCCTGTACCACTCAAGGGAAGGAAACAGAAACTCCATGGGTTGGACAAGACCATTCACCCTCCATCCCTCTCCCAGGGACCGGAAAGACTCACCAGTCAGTGCCCTCAGCCAAATACCTGGGCTGAGGTGTCTGGAGTTGGTGGCCGAAGTCGAAGCTGGGGTAGAGTCGGTGGGGGTGGACAGACACGCGCTCCTGACTCCGCCTGCACCAGAAGGGAAGGAGGCCCATGGAGTCAGGGCTGCCCAGGCCAGCCCAGCTCCCAGCAGCTCTGAGCAGTCCCAGCCAGCCTACAGAGCAGGAGCTTTGCCCCTCGTCCCAAACTCTGAGGAAGCGTCCCAGCTGGACAGCAGCCAGGAACTCAGACATTCCTGTTCTGTTGGGCTGCCCACTGTACTGAGGCCTCTTCCTGGGTTTGTCTGCTGCAGGTCACCTGCCCCTCCCAGCTCCCTGTCTCTTCTGCTCCCTCTCCTACTTCCGTTGTCCTTGGTGGGCTGTCTTCAGGACACTCAGATCTGCTTCCTGCAGGCTCTCCCACCTCTGTGCACCCTCTGTTCCCCGCATGCTCTTCTCTCCTTGACCCTTTCTTCACACTCTTCCCAGCTTTGACAGCCCAGGTCAAAGCCACCTCCTACAGGAAGGCCCCCCTGAACAATCCAGTCATGGTGACCCCTCCTCCCTCTGACCCCATACAGCACTCACCCCTACAGTTAGGGATGCTTATGGCCTTAGAGATCATCTAGCCAAGAGGTTATCAAAGTGTGCTGCAGCTCCCCTGGGAATCCTCCATAGGGGTTATGAGCTCAAAACTATGTTCATAATCCTTCTATGAGGGTATTTCCTTTTTCATTCTCTCACAAGTGAGCACTGGAGATTTCCAGTAACTGTGTGATATGTGATTTGCAACAGAAGCCGACGCGAGAACACAGTTGTCTCCTATTAAGCCAGGCATTGAAGAGATTTGCAAATATGTTCTAAAAAAGAAAAGGGGTCACTCTACTTACCGCATTAATATAACTATTTTTCAAAAATGTATTATTGGTGTTAACATATAATGAGTTTGTGGTTATTTTTAAATGAATTAATAAGTATTTTTTAAATTTCTGTTTTAATTTCTAATAAGTATCAATAGTCCAAACCATAAACACAGAAGCTTGAGGACCACTGAGCTAGTCCAACTCTTTCTCATGACAGTTGAGGCTCCTGAGGGAAGCGATTTGCCCAGGGTTCCCCGGCGCCTTCAGACCTTTAGGTTAGTGATGTCTAACTTTACTCTCCATTTGGTTCATAGCCGGTCTCTCCAACAGACCAGGGGCTCTTTGAAGGCAGGGCCGAACCAGCATGTCCTTTGGTTATTCCTTAGGGATCTTGGGTCTTAGAACCAGGTGACCAGGAAGCTAGTGGGGATGTGGAGGGTGCCCAGTCAAATCTCCCACAAGGTGCAACCTTCCACGGCAAGCATCAGTGACCACCAGCTGCCCAGCTCCCGTCCCTTACCTGGGCAATGTGACAGGGATGCACACTGGCTACCGAGGGAGCCCTGTGGAGTCCAGGCAGCTCCCACTGCCTGAATGAGTCCCTCTCATCTAACTGAGCCAAAGCGGCCTCGGCACAGACCCACTTAGGGGCTGCGTAGTGACTGCCCTGGGTCCCACCCCCGCCCCACCAGCCACCAGGAAGCACCCACCTGGGGTGCGAGACGAGCCTGCGGTGCTGGGCTTCCAGGAGCTGCTGCTGCAGGAGGTATTGCTGGTGCAGGGCCTGAGGTAGGAAGGAGGGACCTGTGACATCCTGGAACTGCAGGGTGGGCAGCGGGGTCAGGGACTGGTGCAGGGCGCCGCTGTGCTGGTGGGCCGGGGCCATGTGGGCGCTGAGGCCCGGCTGTGACTGCACAGGGTGGGCCAGGGGGAAGTCGGGCGCGAGCTGCTGCGGCTGCAGGGGGCCCAGGTGGAAGTGGCGGCAGGAGGTAGCGTGCGGATGCTGAGACCTTTGAAAGGGGGCACCTGGAGAGGCAAGGACAGAGAGAAGACCCCGTGAGGACCAGCGCTGCGTCCCTCCCCCCGCAGACTCCGCCACCACCCCGGACACCTCCTGCAGCTGCTGAAACTCCAGTCCTTCATGAGGACACAGCAAGGTCATTGCTTTTATGTCCATTTGGTCATCTTTAATACGCCAAGGAAAGGCCGGTGCCTTACATGTTGGAGGAGAGAGGGATGCTTTCTTTAATGAATAGATAAGCATCCTTTAAAAAATTAACACACTTGTAAAAGGGGTTTTGAGGTCCCTGAGGCAGACTGGCTTTCTTGAATTAGACTCCTCCCATGCAACCTCTGACCTCACCACCTTTTCTAATAGATGCCACATAGAGAACACTGTGATCGGCCTAGCCAAGCTCTGAGCTCCCTGAAGCCTTGGCTAGCCAGGACCCAGCCCGTGGGAACCCTCGTTTCCAGAGAGAAAACAACCAGAAGGTGTTTTCCATGCAGTTTTAAGGAAAAAACTAACCACCCCAATATAATTAAGCAATATGTTCTAATATTATAATTTATTTAAAAGCAACCATTTCTAGGAATAAGCTGGACTCAGGCAACATCTAACCGGGTCTGCATTACTTTGCTAAATAAAATTGAGCTCGATGACAAGCAGGCCTTACAAATTCCCCAGGAGCAAAGCTGTAGCTCCCGGCACTGCAGTCAGGACGGTTTGCGGAGGCTTCCTGCTAAACACAGCAGGTGCAGCTCCTCCCCAAACCCCTCGGAAATGAGAGCAAAGGGGCAAAGAGCAGACAAACAGACAAGGACAGAGGGAATAGGAGAGGTGACAGGAGCAGGCAACAGGTGGCAACAGATTTTTGGAAGCTGGAAAGCAGATGGGGAGTTAGCAGAGATGAGAAACCAGAAACCAAGTTCTAACCAAAGGGATGGTCAGCAAGAAGGGGGGGGGGGGCAGGATCTTGGCATGCGTGCTGGAAGGTCAGGAATTGGAGGCAGTGGCTACTGTGGAAGGCAGGAGAGAGGGTGGAGCTGAGAACGGGGATGACAAGTCATATGAAAGCAGTCTGGGGCTGCTCACCCTGTCATTTTGTGGGGAAGCTGAGCCAGAGAGGCTCCAATAGAGGAAGGCAGGGCGATGCACATGCTCAAACTGGAGGGTTAGGCGAACGCCTACGAATGGATCTTTGGAAACCCTGCCTCTTCCGCCACTGGGTTCTGAGAGAGCTGTCACCCAGGCGCCCCTCCCCTGCATTCTCCAGAGCCTTAGACTGGACACTGGTCCCAGAAAAAGCTCTAGAGATGCTTCTGGTTGGGAGCACCCCAATAAAATGGCTGGGTCCCCAACTGGCCACTCTATAATGAAGCCGGGAGACACTCATTCAGGGACCCCCATCTCTCTGCAGCCCTGTGTCGTGTGGGGTCTGCGAAAGTAGCAGATAATCGCTGTTCTATTTGGTCTCCAAGCCCAGAGGAGTGAAGTCCTAAGGGTGGAATCTCTGGCCCATGACAAGCCAATGATCAGTGACGTCTGAACAACACTCACATCCCCAAATGCCCCTTCAATAGAGAACTACAATTTTTCCCATTAGAGTTACTCCTTTGGGTTAAAAAATAATCTGCAGATGTCCCCGATTATACTAGTACTAACCATTTATATTTCCCCGGGGCTCAAATGCCATCGATTGCAAGGTTCACCAGGAACCAAGTGACATTTTTAGGGAGTGGGGAGAAGGAAGGGTCTCCCAGAAACAGATAAACAAAGCACTAAAGTAACACGTCAAGTGTAAGACCCAAATCCATTTCAGCACCATGAAGAAAAACACGTGCATCTTAGAATTCAGGAAGTGGATGGTGACTGCTAGCACCCCCTCAGAGCTGGCTGGGAGCAGCACCTTCAGGCCTGGGGCCTGAGGGAGGTGGGGCAGGCTGGGGAGGTCCAGGTCAAGCCTTGTGCAGCTGGGGCAGGGAAGCCCACAGGGCGAGCCTCACCTGATGCCCACCTGGCACACGGGACGTAAGAGGTGCTCCACCAGTGCCCGGACACTGGTGGTTGGTTCGTGACTCGTGGGCCGGGAGCCCAACAGACTGACAGCTGGAGAGTGAGTGGATCAGGGGTGGGAAGAAACCACAGGGCTTCGCTGCAGGGAAGGAAAGGGAGAAGCAGAGGCTCAGGCCCAGGGCTTCGGGCAGGTGGTGGAGACGACAGTGACGAGGTCCCGAGTCTCTGGAAGGTTCACTGACAGAGGGGAGATTTCAGTCTAGGCCTTCCCTAAAGGCCAACTGTCGATGGGAGGGAGAGGGCAGAGCCAGGAAACTAGGGCGTTTAATGAAGCAAGGGGACCTCCCAAGGAGGAGGGCGGTGCAGAAAGGGTCCAGGACACCCAGAGGACACACAGGCCCATCTGGGGTTTCCTCTGGCCTGGGGATGAGGGGAACCGAGTCAAGGGGTGCAGAGGAGCCTCAAGGGGGCCTGGGCAGGAGCAGAGAGGAGCCAGGCCAAGAAGTCAGAATGTCAGAGACGGTGGCCCAGGCAGAGCCATGAGGCTTATCCGAGGCCTCTCCAGAGCAGAGAGCCTCCTCGGCAGCAGGAATATGCTGGCTGTCTTCTCATCTGAACCAGTGCGGTCACCCCCAAGTAAAGGGGCTTCCTTCTCAAGACTCCAGGGCTGAGAGCAACCACCTCTGAGCCCTCAGGTGAAGAGAAAAGGGAAGAACAGGACACATTGTGGGGCAAAGACAAGGGTGGGTGCCTCCAGCAAAAGGCCGGCCCAGAGTCCCTGTGGCAGGCCCACCCGTCAACCAGGGCCAAATCGGCCCCCTCCTCCCAGGGATGTGGGACCCTGGGAGAGGAGGGTGGGAACCAAACCCTCACGTTCTCCAGGGAAGCCAGTCTGGCGTGTCCCATCCTCCCCAGGCCAGTTCTCAGGGTGTCAGGTTCCCTGGGGTCACTCAGCTCATGACCCAGCATCACTCTCCCTCACAGGTGGAGGCAGAGCAGGCCTTGGGAAGGGGAGAGGGGCTGGGGGAGGGCAAAGGCCCCAGGATGGTGTGGGAGAGAGGATGGTGGGGGGCAGCTAGCTGGCAGGGACCGGGGACCGAAGGTGCAGGCTTGTCACTGCTAAGCACTTCCTCGAAGCTAGGGCTGGAGGCAGATGTTACTCCTTTCTGTACTCCAGCTCCCAAGTTTTGTAGAAAACCAGCCTTTTGAAAAGCAAATATCTGCCCACAAGAGGTCAGCGAGGAAGCCTCCGCCACCAAAGCGGCTTTCAGAGGCAGGCAGAGTGGCCTATGTGAGGGCTCTGCCTCGAGGTCAAGGGGCACCCCTCACCGTCAGCCCTGGATGGGACATCGCACCTCTCCAGGCCCCGTTTTCTAGGCATGGGACCCACACTGATGGCACCGGGTCACACACCTGCTGACATCTCTCGGCTGCCTGGGGCCACGAACACCTTCAGGCCAGGCCCCTCATCTTCCCGGGAAGGTGTTTGTGAACTGAATGCTGGGACAGCCCCCGGCTCCCACAGCTGGGCAGCCCGGACCCAGATCTCCTGCCTGTTGAGATTCACTTTCCCACTCTCCTCTCCACCCCAGGGCCTCGCCTGCCTCCATTCTCTGCCCCTTGGTCCTGCTACCCTACAGTCGCATCCAGTCCAACCTCGACTCCCCAGGACTGATCTTAACTCAGGTGTAATCTCCCAGTCAGATAGACTGTCCTCTCCGCTGGACTGGTGGCATTTGCCTGTGATATTTGGCATTTTATTTGTGGACACATTTTATCTCCAATAATAAGTGGTTAAGGGGGTGCTTTCAGGAGTGCAGTAAATGTCCTTTGTTCTTAGAGGGGCTTAGGAATCTTCCAAGAGGGGAGGGAGGGGGACATGAGAGAATGGAAGAGAGAGGAGAAGGAAAAGGGGGGAGGGGGAAAATGGGCAGGAAGGAAAGAAAAGGAAGAAAGACCTCCATTATCTTAAAAATATTAAGTGTCAGATTATTAGCTCCTCAGGAAATATGGTTCTTCATGGGATCATCAAATATTCCAGCCGAACAAGGCTCAGAGATCATGCAGCCTTCACTCTATGATGAGGACCCCGGGGCTGGGAAAGGTTAGGTGGCTTGCCCCAGTGCTCTCGGGTTGTTATGTCTGAGTTGGGGTTGGAGTTCAGGCCTCCTAGGTCCCAGTGCTCTCCCCTCCCCTGCCATTTCAGGCCCCCCTTCCTCCAAGCACCCAGACCCTCATATGCCCACATCCATGTACACGTGGTACTCCCAAAGAGAAATCCTCCTGCCCAGAAATGGCATGCCAAGGCCCTGGTGGTCCCACCCGCCTCCTCGTTCCCCTCCCAAGCACCCCCAGGAGGAAGCTCGTTCCTGCAGAAGGAAGTTACCATGAACTGGCAAGAAACCAGTTGCTAGGGCCCATGGGGAAGGGATTGGATCTCTTCTGTGGGAGATGCCAAGGAATGGCTGTGGTGAGGAGGAATGCATAGGCTCAGCCCGGTCCACCTTGGCCAGTGGCCCCAGGTTCCCTCCCTCGCCTAAGAAAATGCCCAGGACAAGCCCCGGTTTTATGGAGGAGGCCAAGGTGTTTCTAGCCCATTGGGTGTTTCTGTTGCAAGGCAATCCTATGGGGCCCCTAGAAGTCCTCATGCAAAAGGCTGTGTTTAGGTCCTATGTTTCCCAGGGTTTAACTGATGAGAGAGGATGGAAGAAACTTCTGGGGTCCTGGCACCAATTCCCGGCACCTCGAATTAACATGGACACGGTGAGCTGGACTCTGGTGATGGAGACCAGGCTTGTTAGAGGACTCAGTGTCTGATATGAGAACAGGTGTGCTCAGGGAAGAGGAGGCTCCGGTCAGGTAATAGCTGCAGGCAAAGGGATTCAGCTCATTTTGGTAGATTTGGATCAACATAACGAAGACATTTCTTAGAATGTCACTGTGTTCCCCAAAGTTCTTCATCATTGGGGATGTCCATGCGAGGCCAACTAACTGCCCAGCAGAGGAGTGT